TCAGCCAAACCACAGCCTCTTCAAATTGCTCAATTGACAATAGCGTAAAGTCGTGAATTCTTCGCCCCGAGTCCAACAGTATCGCGACGTATCTAAATAGTTGAAAAAGACTTTCTTGGCTGAGCGGAGATGATTTTAACCATTCTAACAAAATATCAATGTCCCAAATCGATTTGGGAGTATTTTTAATCTGCTTGGCCAGGCTAATCGCATTAAGCATTTGTTGAAATAGAGGGTTTGATGACAACATCGAACCCCGAGTAGGATTAGCAAACGTAGCAATCACAGACTAGAATAATACTACTCAAGGACATCTTCTTTACCCTATGTAGATAACTTAAATATAGGGCCCCCTGCTCTGGTGCTTGATTTTTCCCAGAAATATGGTTACCCATTCTATCCATTTTTTACAGGGAGCACTATAGGTTTTCAGGGTTGACTTTCTCCAAGAAGAATACAATAAGTCCCGACTCCAATTTTCCACCCAGAACCTTCCTGGCCAAATAATTTCAATAGATGTACGTTTTGTAGAGGCTTGCCCGTCCTCAAGTGTTTGAGGTTGGGATGAAGATCTAGAAGATTGATTGGATGGTCGATTGCTCTGTTTTCCAAGTCCTGTCCAAAAAACTTTCGTCCAATCTGGAGCGATTATTATGTATGTTCCGGACGCCTTGTTGATATGCTAAAGAACTTGAGGCATCAAAGTTAGAGGGGGAAAAATCCAGGCCGACTGAACGCGTTCACAAATAATGCTTTCTTGTCTATTGAGTGGCTTGCGTAAGATTGAACTACCGCTGACGATTCGGTCGTAAAAAGATCGACTTGGGGAACTCCCTACTTTCTGAAAATTATTCTTGTCAATTCGCTCGATAGATGCCAATCCGGCAGTGAATGCTGGCGAGACAGTGAATCGGGAATTACATTGTATACCCCCGGAATGTATTGTACAGTCAAAGAAATGTTGAAGCGGAATGCTGGACTTAGGAAGGTCAACAGATTTCGTTCCTCCCTGTTCGATTGTCCGATGGTACTAATATCGACTTGTTTTTCAAAATTGACAGATTTTTCTTGATGCTCATTAGAACCGCAAAAAGCTCTTTTCGGTTCATATGCCACCGACTTTTTTGAGCTGTTCAAGTCCAGATGCGATGCGTCTGTTGCCAGATATAGATCTATATTGCCGAGAAATATCGTTCAACTCGAATCCAGTGCTTTCGTCCACCAGCAAATGTCGTTCAAAATTTGGGAGTTTATTGGTGATCTGGATGGGAGTTTGCGATTGTAACGTTGCATCCGTCGACAGTGTAAACGGCCTAACAAAACTACGAAGCTTGCCAAATTTAGACTGCCCAAAATTGATTTGGCACTTCTCCATGATCATATTTTGCGTTCCTGCATTTCCATTAACTTTTGTTTTAGAGAGGATTGTTTTTTCTGGGTTAAGTATTTTATGTTTTTGTTTGTATTGCATGCTATTCCCAAAAACTTCATTTTTTTTTTAGAATTTACTTTTTGAAATTTATTTGCCAACCAATGAATGTGAAAATTTTTACCGCTAACTTTTCTCGTCTTAGTAAAACGTCGCGATCCTGATTGGCAATCAAATAGTCGTCCAAATAAATTATTATCCGCATGATCCTTTTTCGTAGAATCTCTGCTATCCAGTTGGTTATTTTTGAAAAATCCGCCGGAGCCGTCGACAGGCCGAATGGAAGACACGTCGCAGAATAAGTTTTTCGTTTATAGAACAGGGCTAGAAATTTTTGTTTAGTTAGATATACCCAATTTTATCACGTAATCGTTCCCTTTGTAGGAAGAACGGAATATCTAAATAATTGATCAACCGAAACCTTGGTGGAGACAAGCAAGCGTTCAGACATTTTAAATTGAAGATTGGACGCATTGGAAACCTGTTCCGAAATCTACTTTTCTCAAAGCGCCCATTTCCAATAATGATTGAATTTCCATATCCATCTTCCGGGATGATTTCGTTTGAAATGCTTTGCAAACTAGAGGCGAAAATGGGATTAATGAAGGTTTTGTATTTGAAGCTCCCATTGCTTCCCGTGTTTTTATTGCCCACTCTAGCTGACCTGCTCGAAATACCGAAAGGTCAAAAACGCCGACTAGGGCCACTAGAGCTAACAGTTTTGTTACTCTAAGCAAATATTTTCTTTGTCATGTTGACGTTTTCTCTTATATGCAGTTCTAGGGATCGGTTTAGAATCCACATTTCGCTGCTAAAACACTCTAGAAGTAAAACGAGAAGACTGATATAAATGGTATAAATTCAACTCTTTCATCTTCAAACAAATGATTTGCTGATGGGGAATGTTTTGGAGCATTGAAGCTACGCAACGGTCAGCTACCATGTGTTTCTTCCTGCGCAACTCAATAATTTCCGCCCTTCTAGCACACACATAAGGCAACAGGTCATCAGGAATCAGACGTTGATTGTAAACCAGCGTTGATTTGTAAACTAGAGAACACAGGAGCAGCATGGAGTCTTTTGTGAACCTCCGTATATCTAATTTTGTCCCATGAGTTCTTACCTAATCTCTGGCATTCCAAACCCCGTACCATTAAATAGGATCTCGAACAGCAATAACAAGTTGCTCTTTGGTGGCAGGGGAAAAATCGAACGCTGAATTCTTGCTCTTGTTTGCAACGTATAAAAGGCCAAGATTCACTATGACTATGACTGTCCCTCTCAAAATCCTCTTCCCCTCTGCCTGAAAAAGGATCGGATTGTTCATTATCTTCTTCCCATCTTGAAGAGTTTACAGCAGAATTTGTGGAAACGTTTTGCAAAATCGCTTCTAGCAAGGCTTGAGAATTCTGAAACTTTGCCTCTAAATATTCCATCCGGGGCGATAATGATTTTTTCTGGACCAGAAGCCTTGGCGACGATGCCATTGATTCTGCATCTGATTTTCCTCCAGCCAGACTTAACGATGCTTCCTTTCGGGAGAGTAATAGGGGCTTTAAATTTTCAAAACCCCTAATTCGCATGGAGAGAAAGAGGGAGGACAAAAATTCCAGCAAAGCATCTTGATTTTAATATCCCTATAGGGTTTTTCCATACGACTAGACGCTTGGGGGGGGGGGGGAGGGGTTAAAGGCCCTTGCAATGCCAACAGTCGGCAATGCAAACCTAAATTTATTCAGAAACTGAGGATCGATTTGCTGGTCAGTTCCCTCCGAAACAAACACTTACCAATCCTTTCAGCCATTGGGAAGAAACTCTACCGCTAACTGCTTTAGCCGAACAACAATTGGATCATCACCAATTCTATCAATATTACTGTCATGAAGTTCTCCAATTGAGGTAACTCACTAATGCCATCTGGAACAATCATAAATTCCAACATTAGCTGTGGGCGAGACTCTTTTTATTGTACATAACCCGGACGGCTGGAACTTTGACCCATGCGGCGCATTTTAAGAACCATAAGGTTGAAAAGGTGAAGCGATTTTGGAGTCGCAAGGCTGGCAAAAGAAACTGTAAGGCCGACTAATAGAGCCATAGAGGAACGGGTCCGCATATGGTTCTAAATAAATGACACATTCCCGACATGAAAATATTTCTGGCTGTGCATTCCACAAATATTTAAGAAATCAATTCCGATGCCATACCTGATTCTTACTACTTAAAGGAAATATGGCCTAGCAGAATTTGGAAAAGATCGCTGCATCTAATTCCTATTTGTTCATTCTTCTAATTTTTACCTATTAAGATAAAAACACCTCCATTCCAGATACCACTCTTACATTCGCTTTTGTTCATCTAACACTTGAAGCACTCCGGTCGCTACGAAAAACATAAGCGAACTAGCAAGCGATTCTCGTACTTGCCGACAGCTGCGCCATCAAGTAGCGCGTTATTTTGGATACGAAAGTTAATACAAGTCTCTAGCTTACGAAGAAATTATTTGGTTGAATGACCATTTTCATTTCCACGCGGGTAGGGTTAGACCACCGTCTGGATGGATTCGTACGGCTTTTAAGGAGGCGAGCAAGTCCAGCTGTGGGTTCCAAGCGAGTGCAATGTAGAGTTCCATTTAGAGGACATTTTTGACGGGGGTAATTGGAGAAATAAATTTAACTTCTTTAAGTTTTACTCTAAAGAAATTGAGACTGATTTATCGAAAATTCCTAATAGTATCCGACCTTTTCAATGTTTTGTTCCTGTTTAAAAGAATGTCGCATATATATTGTTATTTTGTGATTTAGCTTCGAGTAAGAGAGTGTTAGCTATTCGAAGCTCATTACTTAGTTTTCGTTATGTTCACATTCACATAATTCGGAAGAATTCTATTTTGCTTGAATTTATTTACAAGGCTGTGTGTGTGACTCTATATTTATAGTATTAATAAATACTCTCTGTTCACGTTGCCTTGCCATCTAATTGCTATTCACAGTACGCCGTCCTTCTTGCAGGCAGAAAACAAACACCTCTCAAATGGACCAAGCGGAGGCACATACTGAAAATAGAAATATTGAAATTTTGAGTATTGCCGAAGTTTGACCCATGATTTTAAGTCGTAGCCGGCTTATAAAAGCGCAGGCACTGACAAGCGATTCTCGTACTTGCCGGCAGCGGCGCCACCAAGTAGCGCGCGGCACTATAGTGACCGAAGTGGGGGAAACAAAGATCGACAGAAAGTAAGGAAAACGCACACTCAGGAAGCTAGAAAAACAGAAGGTAATCTCAAATGGGTCAAACATACTCAAAATTAGTTTATTTTGGTTTTAAAATGTTTAAATGGCAAATTTGTGAGCTGAGTTGTATTTAGGTTATATACGCTTAGGTCAATAGAATTTTTCACGTTTTTAGTATATTTAAACTACCTAGCTCGAAGCAAATTTGAGGTATTTGCACTATTTTAAGATAATTTTAGTTAACATTCTAAACGCCTAACTCTATTTTTTTTCTAAAATGCAGTAAGTTCTAGACTATTTTATTTGTGGAATTAATACTTTTTTTGGCTGGATTATAGGATCCGTTGGATTCCGACAAAACTGTGATAGTTATCCGATCGTTGATACCTGGCGGAGTAGCTCAAACCGATGGTCGGCTAATACCAGGCGATAGACTTTTGGGGGTTAACGATTTCAACCTTGAACATGCCGGTCTTGACGTTGCAGTCCAAGTCCTGAAGGGAGCGCCCAAAGGCATCGTCAAAATTCTCGTGGCCAAACCCATAAACGGAGGGGAGACAATATCTCATGCTAGTCAGGTAAGATGCATTTGTTATCGCCATTCTATTTTTATTGCTAAACCAAATTTAATGATTCACCGACGCACATTGTGGTATTAAGGATATAAAACTGATCGAAAATCAAAAAATCAATTGTGTCCTAAATTTTAAAAACAATCATAAATATCAGGTAGAAACAATATTTGTTGACTACTATTTATAAATCTTCTGGATTCCTCCTGCGTCGGTTTTTGCGGAGTCGAACTTGATGATGTGTCGCCAATCATCCTGTAGGCTTCTTCAGAGCTTGACTGAAACTGGCTCGTATTTTACTCTGTAGCTGCTTATATATTATTTGAGGGGGGCGGAGCCTAGTTAGTATTTTTTGTCCGGTCTCTTCAATGTATTCTTTGCCACATATGCATGGAATAATAATAATAATAATAAATTTTATTGCCCAACAGAATTTATCAATTATAGGACAATAACAAAAATACATAAAACAATTAATTTTATAATGTTAAAACTAAACAAAAGAAACAGCATAGAAAACAAGAAACAAAAGGTGTGAACATATAAGAAAAATAATATTAATACGAGAACAAGACAGCGCGAACTACTTCAACTGTAACTACCTACAGATGGACTTTAACCGTTAGTGATATAGTGCTGGTTGCAAATTCTAATCAGTTTTGGTAAACTGTCATTAAAAATATCACAATATTTACTAATTAAGTTGAAATGCGAGCACATCTGATATAGCGGGGACCTACGTAATAAATTTGTTCGGGGAATCCCTAAGCTAAACGTAAGAATGTGTCTTGCATTAGCTTGCGGAACACGAAAATCAATTTGCGCAAGTAAACTCATCGAGTCAACATTACTATGCAATAACTTATGTAAAAATTTACACTGGCCGTAAACCGCCTCTGATCCAAGGCTTGAATGTTAAACCTGTCCCGCAAAATACCCGTCTCTGGATAGAAACCATCCACTCTCAAAGGAAGAAACTTTACAAATCTCCTTTGAACATATTCAAGTGACCGAATATAACTTGAGTAAATAGGTGCCCACACTATCGACGCATACTCAAGCTTGGACCTAACCAACGAATAATACACTATCTTTAGAGAAAGAACATTAGAAAACGCTGAGCAGTTACGAATAATGAAACCAAGAACCTTAAGGGCAGATCCAACTATGAAGTCGAAGTGTTCCGAAAATGAAAGCTGCGAATCGAAGATAACGCCCAAAGCTTTTATAGAATTACATCTGGACAAGGTAATGTTATTTAGTTTATAAAAAAATAACGATGTTTGAAGATTTCTTGTGTATGAACATACTTTACACTTAGAAACGTTAAGAGTGAGCTTGTTTCGTACGCACCAATCGTAAATGTTTGATAGCTGATCCTGAATCAACACACACAATAGATCTATATATTTTCAAGTCGTCTGCAAAGAGCAGAAAGTCACAGGAAATTTTGTCCGATGGATCGTTTAGGAATGCTGTAAACTCCTGGCATCTCAAACGGAATTTGGTTTTTGACGAACCGAAGAGAGATTTTTGGTAAAACATGAAAGGGGCTTACGACTAAGATAAATAAACTTATCAGCTGTTGCCGAGCACACTCATGAAACCGAACATAAAATTTTATTCGATAAAACTAAAATTCTTGCATGCAAACCAACGAAAAATCCGAGAGTCTCTAGAAATCTATAAACAACCTAACAATCTTAATCGCGACTCAGGTCTCTACCTGTGGGGCTTGGGAATCAGTCATCCGAGAGAGTGTTTATGCCCTTCATTTGGCTCCGCCCCTTTCAAGCGATATATAAGCAGGTACAGAGTAAAATACGAGCCAGTTTCAGTCTAGCTGTGAAGAAGTTTTGTAAAAAGTATTACAGTAGCCTGTTTAAGTTTCTTTGAAAAATTTGCTGACGTTTCGCCGATCATTCTGTTGGCTTCTTCAGAGCTGTTTCGGTTTCAGTTAAGCTCTGATGATTGTCGAAACGCCAGTAACATTGATTTGTAAACAACTGACGTAGAAGGAAATCAGAATATTTGTAAATAGTATTACAGTAGCCTGTGGAAGTTTCTTTGAAAAAATAATATTTGATTTCTCTGCGGTATTAAGCATTTGTTTATCTGGATTAATTGATTATTATGATACGTCAAAAATTCGACCTTGTAAAAAAATACCAACTGGGTCTCTATTTAAGATACAGGAGCAAACTCAGTAAACATCCAGTTTTTTTATGGTGAAAAAGCTAGCTGCTACTTTTTGCGCCTCTTTGTTCAAAATTGAAATAAATTGCTATAACTCCTACAACCTTTCGTTTTTTGTTTTTTTTTCTATATGAGGGCTGGTCTTTTACGGAAACGCACTGAAATATTTTATTATCACAAACTTTTGACAAACCTTCAATTGGAAATTCCAAAGGAACCAACAAAGTTATATAATTATATAATTTATTTAGTCTTAGTAATTCAGAATCAGCCGGATAAAACAAATAAAACTGTAAATTTATATTTGTCATTATTGGTGATGTTTAGTGTATTAATATTTTCCTTTATACGCAGATCAGAAATCCCGTAGTAGCAATATCTCAGAAACTATTGCGTAATCGTACATTATGCAACAAGTGCTGCAAACGGCATTTGACTCACGAGCTTATTTGAGTGTTGCATATTATATATTTTTTCTACGACCATTAGTTTTTAGGTACATTTTCGTAAAACAACACGAATGCATTCTATGACATGACCATCAGAACTGACAAACTTCAAATCTCAAGGCGTAGAGAATATCTCGGTAAACACCCGTGTAAGTGTAATGTCACCTGACTTGTGTCAACCGTTAGGTGTAGGTGACACCTGTCGCTAATTGCAGGTGTAATGTTACCTTACCTGTGTCGAACGTCACATGTACGTGTATATTCACATCCCGTCGTTATTTTTATGGCATTAGTGCCCTTTCGGCACGTCGACCCCGCTAAAGGGTTAGTTTTCGCGTTAGTGCCTTTTTGGCAATTCCACCCCCGCTAGGGGTAGTTTTTGCGTTAGTGCCTTTTTGGCAAACATTTACTTCTCGCCCCGCACCCCTGCATATCTTTTTTCTACAAACCCTTTTTTTACCAGTGGAGAGTTTGCCAAAAACGCACTAACGCAAAAACTACCCCTAGCGGGGTTGGAATTGCCAAAAAGGCACTAACGCGAAAACTAACCCTCTAGCGGGGTCGACGCGCCGAAAGGGCACTAATGCCATAAAAATAACGACGGGGTGCGAATATACACGTACGACACAGGTAAGGTGACATTACACCTGCACCTGTAATTAGCGACAGGTGAGACACCTTACTTCTTCGGTTGCTACGATCCCTTCTGGAGGGATGATGGTCACCTAGATGCCATCCCCAGTCACAGTTAAGTGTGTAGATAACTATTATATATAAATCATATTGCTTATTGAATAAATTTAAAAATCATTAATAATTTTAGCTGTGAGAACAATTGGGCACACGTAACAACATGTAAACAAATCATAATTATTCTCTCTCTCTCACGAACGCCCCGATACGATTTGGACAAGTGGATAAATACGGTGGTAAAGTGCCTTTTCCCGCTCGAGAGTTTTACTACCGCGCCGGGTTTGGGAGAAATTTTAACGTTTGTCAATTCTAACGGTGATGTCAGTGAATGTATTCGTGTTGTTTTGCAAATCCAAAAACTTACGGTCATAGAAAAAGTATAGTATGCAACACGTTTGGCAATTTTTTTAAGTCAATCGTTTATTAAACTCTCGCTAAGCTCGTGACCAATAAACTTATGACTCAAATGAACACACTTGTTCCACAATATACTACCGAAATTTAATATGGGCGGAGTTGCCAATTTTTTTTATAGAATTCTCAATTTTCTGTTTTAAATGCAAAAACATGTTTTTGTTTAGTTTTAAAAATTAAAAAGGAACCATTGAAGCATTGAAAATAAGAAAGTTCGGACATCTGGGAGGTAAGCTTCGCATTGTTATCCATATCATAATTATTGAATCGAACATATTTTGAAACTCCGATGTCCGAAATTTCGAAAGAAAAATACAGGCAATACTTTCCAAAATATTTTATTCTTGCAGGATTTTTGACTTACCCTGTCTAATGTAGATATCTGCTCATTCTTCAAAATATGAAATTATTATTGAATGTTTTTGGCAGATATATAATTAAACAACAATTTCGATCAGAAATTAATCTCAAATACCCCATTGTGCGTCGCACGTAGGCGAATGTGGGCGAACTGTCGGCCAATAATCGAGTTCCAATGAGATTGCTAAAAAACCATACACTTTCAAAGCATTTCGTTCAAAATTTGTTCACTTTTATTTCATTCAATATTGTAATCTAATATTGACCAAAAAGTATCCATTAGCAGTAACAAAAAATGCTGCAAAGAATGTGAAAAATGGCTATAATTTACCTATACTACAATAATTTATACTTAATACATTATATATAAAAATACAAAAATCCAAAAATTGAACCCCCAAAATCCACGCCCCTCTCCCGTCCAATTATACTCCTCAAAATTTTCTATTTTTGTTTCTGTGCTATTTTAATTTTTTAATTACACCTCGAAAGTAGATATAAATGTATCAGATCTTCACCAATAGCTGTTATTCTTGCTGCAAATCCAAATCTTTTAAAAATAAACTCCGATTTCTTTTCGCTAATTTTTCTTAGTTTTCTTTCATTTAATTTCTTTTTGTTTTATGAAATAATTAATTATTGTTGAAAATAAGAAATAAACAATAAGTATAAAAAATTACCGAAGAAAAATTTAAAAAAAAAATTACTTCAGAATGCAACCTTTCTTGAATTTCATCGGAAATGTGCGGAGGTGACAACTTTTTCTTTTTAAGAACAAGTGAAAACTTACTTTTTTTTTGAAAAATGCTCTAAATATTAAAACATAATTGCCCGTGTCTACACTACTCTATGCTGTCTCAAAATATATCCTTGGCCTTTGATGCACCCTCCCCG